AAGTAAACCTTAGAGTACTTACTAAAGAAGTGTGAGTTATTATCATAGTAGGTTCTTGAGAAATTTATTGAATGAATAAGTGAATGAATGAATGAATGAATGATTGAACAAATGGCATTTCAGTTGCTTTCTGCTTGGTAGGAATATGTTCTATTGAGCCATGGACATTCTCTTTTCTGATCTTTCTCATGACCTAAAGGGAACATCTGTGAGACAGGTGGCTGGATCTGCAGGAACAGTTTGTAGCCATGGTATAAGGCAGAGAGGTAATCAGAAGGGGGAGTCAATGGAGATGTGAGTCTCTAGCCAAGGTGCCCACATAAGCAGAAATGAAGTGTGAATGATTCCTAACAGACCACCTGCCTTCAGACAAAAAAAGCACAGTGGGATGGATAGAATAAATGTAATTCATTTCAATAAGTATTTATTAAGCACCTACTATGTGCTAAGCACTATAGATATGAAGACAAAAATGAAATAGTCCTTGCCCCCTGGGGGGGGGCGTAAAGAGAGAGGGAGGATGCACAGAACCTGCATATAGATAAGAAAATAAAATATATAGAAATTAAACAAATAATTTTGTAGATAATGTGGGGAGCATTAAAAATAGGAGGAATCAGAAAAGGACTCTTGTAGAAGATGGTACTTGAAGTGAGCCTTGAGAGGGAAGTTAGGGATGAGGAACAGAAATGAAAGGAGCACATTCTACAAATGTGCAAAGAAAGGAATGAAAGAAGGCAGGAGATGAAATGTCATACATGGAAAACATGAATCAGGCTAATTTGACTGGATAAATAAAGATGGTATGTGAATCTCATACCTTCTTTGCATCTTCAGAGTGATGGAATTGAATTAGAGAATTTCAAGATGGCCTCATTTAGTTATAAAATTCCAAGATTCAACTATTCTTTTCATAGTATCTTTCCCTATAGAACAATTCAAGAACCTTTAAAATATTAGGTAATGAGAAAAGTGATCAAAGGAGATCTTTAATCAATCAGTCAGCAAGCATTTATTAAGCACCTGCTATGTGTTAGGCACTACGTATACAATGACAAAAATGAAAATGTCCCTGCCCTCAAGAAGCTTACATTCTATCAGGGGAACAACATTTACATAAATAGGAGAACACAAAATATATAAAGATAAGATAATTTTGGTGAGGAAGGGAAGGCACTAGCAGCTAGGAGAAATCAGGAAAATTTTCACATTGGTGTTGTTTAGGCAAAATTTTGAAGGAAGCGATGGATTATGTATAAATAGTTCCCCCAAAAAAGAATGACAGACTATTAGCAGCTATATTCGAGATTTCTCCAAGTCACTAATAATAAGAGAAATACACATCAAATAGACTCTGATGTTTCCTCTCCCCATTATCCTCACCCCCCAACATATTGGCAAAGGTGGCAAAAGATGGAGGATTTGGGAAGGCTGACACGCTAATAGGAAGTAGAGTTGTGAACTGGTTCAACCATTCTGAAAAGAAATTTGGAACTCTGCTAAGAAAGTGATTAAAATGACCATTCGCCTCTGACCAAGAGATCCCACTGGTAGGTATATATCCCAAAGAAGTCAAAAAGAGTAACAAAGTTCCCATATCCACTAAAATATTTATAGAAGCACTCTTTATAGTAGCAAAAAAAAAGTAGATACCCAATAAGTGGGTAATAGTTTAAAAAACTGTGAACATAATGTAATATTAATGTGCTGTAATAAATTATGAACATGAAGGACTCAGAAAGCCTAGAAAGACAGAGGAACTGGTACTGAGGGGATTACAGAACCAGAAAGACAATATAAACAGTGACTGAAACAATGTAAATGGAAAGGACAACAACAAACTCTATGAACCAACATTGTACATTTAGAATGAACAAGCTAATCCCCAAAGATGAGAAGAAAAAACTCAACTCTCTACCTGCAGAGGTAGGGGACTATTGGAGCATTTCATTCACCATCAGTCCTGGTTGATGTGTCAGTTAGTTTTGCTGAACTGCTTTTAAAAATTCCTAGTGTAATAGGGTGAACCATACACACCCTTATCTTGGTTGTTGTCCTTTGTTTTCAAGAGGATTAAAATGACATCATCATGTCAGGGTCAAGGCATGGCATGTCCTACTCTGGCTGGTCAGACCAATACAAGCTCCACCACAGGTCAGGCACAAGTAGGGCATATGAACATTTGGAGTGGAGATGGCTCTAAATTTGCACAGCTCACATTTCCTTTGAGCTATGGCAATTCTGCTTTGATTATAGAGCACAGCCTTCTTTGATGCAGGTACGCCACGCTGGGCAGTCCTGTGCTGGTGTCTCCCATGTCTCACAATCGAATCACCCCTATCTACTACTCTGGCTAGAGCACACCTCCTTGGAGCATATGTTCAGCTGAGTTGGGTTCCCTCACCCACTTCTGGTTATGCAGGAAGGAGGCAAAAGCTGTCTCTGTCAGATACTGAGCAAGGGATAACCATAAACTTTAAAGGGAAAGAAAATTCCATTCTTGCTCCCTTCTTTCTCCTCTCCAGAGCATGTAGAATCAGACTTTCTTTCTGAGACTTCCTGTCACCTCCTCCTTCCTCTGGCATCTATGGCAGCTGCCCTCACATAGCACTAAGAACACATGCTAATCTAAGTGAACCTGGGTCAGAATCCTGACTCATTCTTCTGCTTTGTGTTTCTTTCCTTAAACATAGGTGACCAAATAGTGATCATGAGACACACATTTCCAGCCTAAGTGGTAACCTCATGAGTTCAAGAGGTCAAGGGATCCTGGATCCCTTAGTTGACATTAGCTACACTGAAGGAGGTGTATCCAGCAGCTACTACAAGGCTTCTAGGAGGGGGAAATGACCACTGGCAGGAGGATGAGGCCTAACCCTAGTCTGGCTTGCCAGAAGACATGGACTTTGAGGGCTTTGTTCACAGAGAACAGAGCCAAGGTGAAGGAGGAAATACCTGTTCAATAGTCCCATTGAATGTCTTGTGTTTTGATGTTTTAAGTTTCAGCTTCCTCGAAGAGCATTAATAAGAGTGATGGATTTACGGTCCACATTTTAAGTCTTTGTCGAAGTGCATGTATATATCTTTTGTGATCTAAGCGTTTTTGTTTTTGTTTTTTGTGGTGGGAGAAAATAAGTAGCTGTCCTGTATCTGATTTATATTGCACATTGAGAAACTTTCAGTTCCCTTTGTGGAGGACCACAAACATAAGCCTAACTTAAGCTTTAAGTGATTTTCCCCCAAGATTCCAGGTTTGGGGCATAACAAGTTAGAGAATTTGAGAAAAAGTTCTACTCTTTAATTTAGAGGACAAGCTTCCCCACGACTGACTCCAGAACCAGGGGTCCCTTAGTGGATGAGGTGGAGCACTCCAGACCTTCTAGAGTCAGCAGGTCGATTGCTATGTTCTTGGCCCCCAGAAATGCCAAGAGAGTGCTACCTTTGCCATAAGGGATGGTTCTCTGGAAAGGGCCAAGAGGAAGGACACATTTAGAAATGAAAGCAATATAAAAGCAAAAGACAATAACAAATTTTAAATTGAAAGCAAGCAGGAATCTTTACAAGTCCCTCAGAAAAATAAACCATTTGAAAATAATAACTGAAGGGACAGCTAGGTGGCACAGTGGTTAGAACTCCAGCCTTGGAGTCAGGAGGACCTGAGTTCAAATCTGACCTCAGACACTTGACATTTACTAGCTGTGTGACCCTGGGCAAGTCACTTAACCCAGATTGCCTTACGAAAAAGAAAATAATAACTGAAGACATTATTCTTCCATCCTTATTTTGGTGACTCTATGATGTACTCAATGTCAATGTACCATCCAATGATATAAATCACAATCTGTATCATTCTGTATGGCTCATGTTCATGTCTTCCTTTATATATCATCCACATGCATTCCACTCACTTTTTTGGAGGCTAATCTTTAGATTTCTTGACATTGTACGTATTTCAATGAGCACACAACACAGCCTGCCTGTCATTCTTACCACATATTTAACCTTTTTTTGTGGTTCCACATCTCTCTTGTGCCATCCTTGACACCGCCACTCTTTTACAATTCTTGGTTAACAAAGTGTCACAGTTGACTCACACCCACATCGAACTTCTCTTGAGTGACTCCCCAATGACAATCCTGGCAGACTGTGGTATTCCTTGAATTAGTAGTCATTTAGCTAATGTTTCTACAACTCTTTAAAATTCATAAAGTTCTTCCCTAGGTGTCACAGTGAATAGAGTACAGAACCTGGAGTCAGGAAGACCTGAGTTCAAATCTTGCCTCAGATAACGTTTTAGTTGTGTGTCCTGGGCAAATGACTTACCCTCTCTCAGTCTTAATTTCCTGAGGATAGCAATAACACCAACCTCACAGGGTTGTTGGGAGAAGGCAACTGTAAACTATTTTTAAGATTTAATGTGCTAGTTGTTATTATTCCTTACAAAAACCCTAAATTACTTCACCTTGGGCAGCAATGTAATATGAGAGAAGGAGCAGTGGCTAAAGAATAGCCCTTGTCCTACCTACCTTCTAGGGTTTCTGTGAGGAATGATAGCTATATGTTATAAGTGACTCTAGGGTCAGAGCCAGAGGAGAAATAAAAGGATGGGGGGAGGGGCTCAAGCTGAATTGGGTAACCAATGTGGAACGAGAAAGGAAAAGAGCAGAGGTCTGGGTTAGAGAAGGATGGGGAAGAGTGGAAAGAGCAGCCTAGGGGGGTGGTAGGAAGAGAGAAGCAAAGATGGGGAGGGAGAGAGGGAAACATGACAAGACATCTGCTGGGAGGGACCCTGGAAGAAGTGGGGGGGGGAGATGTTAATGCTGCTGTAGGAATGAGGAAGAGCTTTTGAACGTCCTAGGCATTCTTCTGGGTCCATCCCAGCCAGGGGTCTGAAATTGGAGTCAGAAAACACAGACACCAGGACAGGATACAACTTCTAGAAAATAGCTTCTGTTTTAGCTTGGCTGAACAAATCCTGAGAAATTTTCCTAGAATAGACGTTACTTGCCGCTCTTCCTGCTCTTGGGGACAGGAGACACCACCTCATTCTGGTGGAGTGGGGGCACTTTCACCCCTTTCTGTTTCAGCTGCTGATAAAAGTCCAGTCGCTCACTAATGATTCTCTATAAATGAAACACATCCAAAGAGGAAAATGACTTTAACAAACTTCTCAATCAATAATCAATCAATCAAGAAACACCGATTAAGAGCCTACTATGTACCAGGCATGGTGCTAAGTGCTGGCAAAAAGAGGCAAAAAAAAAAAAAAAAAAAAGATAGTTCCTGACCTCAAGGAGCTCACAATCGCTGTCTTTTATACTCCTCCTTTGCACAGGACTCCCTTAAATGATACCAACCAGATGGAACCTAGTTCCTCATCCTCTGAAATGTCCAGAGAACGAATGTGGCTATCTCCCTTGGTGAACCAGTCCAGGATTTCACCCAGAATCTCAGAGTTGGAAGAGATGTCCAAGATCATCTAGTTGGAAGAGCTATCTGATAACATACCATCATGATATGATATCTGGTATCATATGATGATACCATCTAGATTTCCTGGACCAATCTGTGTCTGAGCAGGAATCCTTTCTATGATACCACGTGGCTGGGGAAACCTTTTTGTTTTGGGGAAGCAAGGCAAGGCCCAGAATGGCAAGGCCCCAGTTGGGGTACAATCATAGTAGGAAAGAGGCAGAGTTGAGGGAGAAAGCCTTCCATTGGGTAACTTCCCATTTTAACTCTTCATTCTTGCTAACTAGTTGGCATTCTTGCTAACTCAATTGTTTCTATGTTACTGAAGGATTATAAGCACTGTCAGTATCCTCTAAAATTTGGTGCCCTGGTACAAAGTCATGGTCATTCCATCCTAGTTACACCTCTGTTTCCAGGTCCTTCCCATGATCCTTCAACTTTGAGAAGTCCTAAAGTCAAAACCAAATCTATTGCACAGCAATACAAGTCTGCTTTCCCTTGTGCTGTCCCTGAGGATTGCAAACAAGGGATTAATTCCCAGTCAAGAAGATCATTTACCTTCCATCTAGCCATCACTACCCACAGCTCTTTTCCTCCAGGTTATATAATCTAAATCCATATATATTCTATATATATACATATTGGGATGATGGTAGAGAGTGAACTTGATGAACAAGATTTCTCATTTTTATTTGATGCCCTAGAGGTATTTACCATCTAGTGTAGTCTGCTCTGCTAAATTTGGCATCTCTCTAGAACAGGTCATGTCCCTCAAAGAGATGGCTTTGGAGCTGAAAATACCCTTAGGCTCAATTGTCTTCAAACTGGTCTAGCCTGTTCTGTGAGAGGAAACCTGGGTTGTAACTAAGGTGTGGCAGTCAGAGCTTTCCCCAGAGCACTGAATTTAAGTGGTGTTGACAACAAGCTTAGTTAACAAGAATGAGTTAAAATAGGAAGCTACCACTGAATGAGCTTCTCTCCTAGGTTGTTTTCTCCCCCTTCCTCCCCTCCCTTCCCTATTACAAGCCAGTGGTAAGCTAGAGTCTATTTCCCATCCACTCCATCTCACTCCCTCAACTGAAGTTATACTTTTCACCATTTGGCCCAAGAGCAAAAACTTCTTAGTTACAATAGGAGGAGAAGTTATACCTATAAGCAAGAAAGCAAGTGGAAAAATCAGGGACATACCTGCAAGGCTTCTATGATGTCAGTGTCTGTAATTTCTGAAGACGGAGGGTTGATTTCTGCCATACTGAATGCAGCCTGCATGATTTTACTTCTTAGCCTTTCCAGCTGTGGACAAAAAGGGCACCAGAATCAGAGGGTTAAAGGTTACAGTAGAATGTTTGTGAATGGAGAAAGATGTATGTACTACATTTTACACCACAAAGCAATCCTGTGCCTAAAAGAGCCTTTCGGGAAAGTGTTCCCCCCAGGGCAGCAACTTCAGAAAGAGGTCTCCTTGAATGAAAATCACAAGTTCAAGGATCCCTTTGTCCTCCCTAATGAGCAACGCTGACTGATGGTTTCAACTCCTGATCGCCTTTTGAAATCAAAGTCAATTTGAAAAGAATCAATTTCTGGCTAAAGTATTGATGAAAATAAGCCAACCCAAGAGTAAGAGGAATAGTTTCATAGGAGACAAGGGCTGGCCTTGGAATTAGGGAGATAGGTGTTCAAAATCCTGCTTCCTGATACATAATGGCTGTGTGATCCTAGCCACGTTACTCGACCTCTGTTTCCCAGGTATGACTCAAAGACTTTAAATGTAGCTGGAATCCTGACCTGCGTTGGTGACGGGACTTTCTCCATCAGGAATTCTCTACATTGACAAAATCACAGGTTTGGAAACAAAATGGATTTTTAAAAATGCCTTTTTAATTATGAAGAGGAATAAATATGGAAAGATACAAAGGAAAAAGGGCCAAATTGGAGGGATTACCTGCACCTATGATGTTGCAAAAATAATAATTAAAAAAAAACATTAAAAATGTCAAGAAAACTTGATAAATAACAGATGGGGAAAGAGGAGAGGCACAAAAGTGATTATTGCCATTATGTTGCTGAACTTTATCTCTTCTATTTTCTTTTCCTTCTTTTTAAAAATGCAAATGCCAATGACTCTGATTTTATGGTTTGTTTCCACGAGCTGTTGATTTGTTTGCTTGTATTTGTGGAAGGTCCCCAGTGTCTTGGGTGGACATCTTGTGCAAACTTATGGGAAGTCAAGGATGACTATGGAGAGATGGATGGGCAAGCATGAACGAGCTGCGATCTGCTCTGGTGGAGGGCATCTCCGCGGGAATGAGATCACAGGACCATTGGAACATTGTTTGAATGACTACATTTACAATAAAATAGATTATTTTATTTTATGTGTATCTGCATACATGCAGATTCACAAGACCATAGAATCTCAGGGTTGGAAGAGACCTCAGAGGCCATACAGCCCAACCTGTTCACCCTCTACATTAAAACCTGGAAAAGGGTCATCTAGTCTAGAGGCACAATGAAGTTCAAATGTGACCTCAGAGACTTAACTAGCTGGGCAAGTCGCTTAATCCCAGCCTGCCTCAGTATCCCCAACTGTAAAATGAAGACAATAATAGCACCTACTTCCCAGGCATTGTTGTGAGGATCAAATAAGATAATATTAAATAAAGTGATAATTAAATGAAGTAAAATAAATTGCTTAACAGAGAGCCTGACAATAGTAGGCACTTAAAAATACTTGTTTCCTTCTTTTATTCAGAGACCTCTTGGGACAGTGAGCTAGCCAACTCTCAAGACAGCCCTTTCCACTTTGAGATGGCTGTAAGTATTGCGAAGTTTTTCCTGATATCGAGCCTCAATTTGTCGTTAGGACTTGGGACCCATTGTTCCTGCTTCTTCTCTGTGGGGTCAAATAGAACAAATCTAATCCTTTTTCCATTTGAAATACTTGAAGAAAGCTGTGACATCTCCCCTAGGTCTTCTCCTCCCCTGACCAACCTTCCCTCCATCCTTGGACCAAGCCTCATTAGGAATGATTTTAAGTTCCCTTTCCATCCTGATTGTCTTTCTCTGGAAGGCCTGCATATCATACATATATGACTTAGTATTTTGGACAGCCTGCCAGAGACAACAAGTCCAAGTATCCATGGATCTTGAGAATTCATTTTGGTTGACTATAGGTATGAATTGCATGCATCTTTCTAATCCATAAAAGGTATAATGATTAAGGATGCTGCTGGAACCAGCCAGAGGAAGCAATTTGGGCATGGGGGTCACATTGAATTGGTCATGCTGCTAACTTCTTCAGATGATACATCTGTAAGAGGGTCTCCCATCATGTCCAAGTCAGGGATCCCCTCCCCCATTCCATGCCCTTCTTCCTACAGCCATTGCCCATCCAATTCAATTCACAAGCATTTTTATGCACCTACTACACACAAGAACCTTGGGGATAAAAAGACAAAAATAAACTGGTCCCTGACCTCAGGGAGCTTACATTCCTTCAGGGAAAAACAACACACACACACACACACACACATATACGCACACACACAAAATGACTATAATGTAATTTGCGTAAGAGACAATATGTGTATATTGATACATACATAAATTCAAGATAATTGGAGGGGCATCAGTAGCTGGGGGTGGGGTGGGGATCAGGAAAGTCTTCATTTAGGAAGTGATGCCTGACCTAAGCTTTGAAGGAAACTAGCGATTTTAAGTGGTAAAGATGAAAATAGAGTGAATTCTGGGCAGAGGGGAGAGAGAGGGCAAAGACACAGGGGTAAAAAGTGAAGTCTATGAGGAGCAACCAGGAGGATGGGGGTTTGGGTGGACTGTTATGTACCATGAAAGGAGAACTGTGTGATAGAAAGGCAAGGGTCAGGCTCCAAAGGGTTTTAAATGCCAAACAAAGGAGTTTGCACTTGACTCTGGAGGTCGTAGGGAGCCATGAGAGTTTATTGATTAAGGGAGTGACGTGTTCAGACCCATGTTTCAGGAAAAACACTTTAGATGTGTTGGAGAATGACTTAAAGCAGGCAGACCAGTTGGAAGCTGATTTCAGTCATCCTGATTGCGCATATTAGGAGAATAAGAATACAGAGTTGAGGACAATTCTGAGATTGCAAATGTGAGTGACTAAAAGGATAGTATTAGGACTCCAGACAGAAATAGAGATATTTTGAAGAGGGGTAGGTTTGGAGAAGAAAGATAATGAGTTCTGCTTTTGACATGTCAAGTTTGAAATACTTACAGAACAATTACTTTGAAATGCCCCATAGACAGATGATGATCTGGGACCAGAGCTCAGGAGAGAAAGAGTAGGGCTGGATATATGAGAATCATCTTCATCGAGATGACAAACTCATAAGAGTTTATGAGGTTGACAAGAGAAAGAGAAGAGAAATGGCTTCAGGAAAGAGATTTGTGGCACCCTCACAGTTAGTGGGCATGAGATGGATGACAAATAAGCAAAAGAGGCTGAGAGGGAACCATCAGACATATAGGAGGAGAACCAGGAAAGAGGAGTGTCCCGAAAACTCTCTTGGAGAAGAGGGTAGCCAACTGTACCAAATGATGAGAATTGAGAAAGGGCTGTTAGATTTGGCAATTAAGAGATAGACCACCGGGAACTTTGCAGAGAGATGCTTCAGGTGAGTGATGAGGTCCAAAAGATTTTGTAAAGGTTTGGGAAATGAGTGAGAAGAGAGGAATCAGAGGCCAGGAGAGTAGGTAACTCTTTCTAGGAGTTTAGCTGTGAAAGGGAAATGAGCTATAGGATGACAGTTTGAAGAAATGAGAGAGTCAGGTGGGGGTGTTTTTTTTAATTTTTAGGCAATTGGGGTTAAGTGACTTGCCCAGGGTCACATAGCTAGTAAGCGTCAAGTGTTTGGTCTGAGGCCGGATTTGAACTCAGGTCCTCCTGACTTCAGGGCCAGTGCTTTATCCACTGCACCACCTAGCTGCCCTTGGTGAGGGTTTTTTAAGGCTCGAGAGGATGTCAGCATGCTTGCAGCAAATAGGGAAGGAACTGATAGGAGAGAGTTGAACATTAGAGAAGTGGAGGATTATGGGGCTGATCTTCTGGAGAAGATGGGAGGGTGTGGGATGAAGGGTACATGGGACAAGGAGACGGTCTTAGAGGAGAAGGATCATTAGAGACTAGGGTAGAGGGAGAAATAAGAGAATGGTGTCAAAGAGTTTTGAGATGTAAAGAAGGAGAAAAGGAGGAATACATGGAATGACTTCTATTTTCTCCAGAAAATATGAGGTAGCGTCTTCAGCAGTACTGAGAAGAGGGAGAAAGGACCATGTGGGAGCTTCAAATAGAGAAACAGAACATCTACTGTGGGAAGGGCATAGAGAATCAATTAGGGAAATGTAAGAGCATTGCTTCGCTGCAATGAGGACCAGCTGAAATCAAATGACATAAATTTGTAATGGAACTGGGCGACCCATTACATGACCTCCTCTAGCTTTGTTCAGAAGCTTGCCAATAGGAAGAGAGGAAACAGACTATGAGAGTACTTTTACACCTTACTCCTTCCAGTCACACCACTCCTTCTCCTAAGGCACTCTATCTTCTGACTGGGCATTTTCAGGGGTTGTGTCCCTGCCTGGAATTCTCTCCCAGCTCATCTCCATCCCACAGCCTCCCTGGCTTCCTCAAGACACAGCTAAAATCCCACCTTCTCCAAGAAGTCTTTCCCAACCCCTCTTCGTGTCAATGTTGATTATCTCCAGTTTCTCCTGTATATATTTGGTCTGTATATATAGATGTTTATCTGTTGTCTCTCCCATTCGGCTATGAGCTCCTTGAGAGTGGGGACCGTCTTTTGTCTTTCTTTGCATCTCCCAGCATGTAGCTCACGGCCTGGCACATAGTAGGTGCTTAATAAATGCTTCTTGATTGACTGGCTCACTGATTCTCATAGTCATCTGACTTTGCTTGCAAGCTAGTGCTCAAGGAGCTCCAGGGATCCCAGACCCCGCCCCGCCCCATCTCCCTATGTGTAAGGGAGGTCCTGGGCAGGAGCAAATAGCTTTTACCCTGGCTTGGCAAATCTCCAGGAGCACTCGGTACTCCTGCTCAGAGAGCTTCATTTCCTCATAGCGGTTCTGGAGGTCCTCCTGGATCTGCTCCTGCCGTCGCATGTGGTTTTGATCTACATTCACCTGGGCCTCCAGGTGATTGATCTTGCTGTCATACTCCGAGATGACCTCTTCCTTCTTCCTTAGTTCAAACTCCAGCTCAGCTACATGCTAGGGGAAGAACTAAGAGATAAATGGAGGACAGACCAAACCCCTAGTCTAAAGACAAGCTTGGGGGGGGGTGAGGTCAAGTCTAAGTAGCTTAAAACAGATCAAATTCAATGTCTCCCACATTGCTGGCCAGTCCCTACTAGCATTCGTATGTTTTGGCTACCAGTCAAATCCTGCTACAGTGAATTCCGAGACTGTCTATATTCTCCTTTTTTTTTCTTTTAAATTGTGCTAGGTTTTTGTGATAACGAATCACCTGGTGGATAGAGTGCTGGTTTTGGGATCTAGGAAACTTGGATTCAAATTTCACCTCTGATACTTATAAGCCGTATGATCTTGGGCAAATCTCTCTGTGCCTCAATTTCCTCATCTCTAAAATGAGGATAACGAAACCTGGCTACATCCCAGGACTTTTGTGAGGGCTGAATGAGAGAATGTATATAAAGCACTTTATAAACTATAAAGTGCTATAGAAATGTTAGCCATAATTACTTAAAACAAGTGCACCAGCGATTGGTGCTTGGGAATTCTTTTGTCATAGAGAGATTTTTAGCCTTCAATTGTGTTGGTTGTAACAGGATTTAGCCTATGGCAAGAATGACAATGATATTTTCAATCTAACAATACTCAGACCTGTCTGAGGTTAAGATTGTCTTTCTCAATGATGCCCATCATTTCTTCATGTTTTCTTTCTTCTCGGAGGCTGGCAAACTAAAAGACAAAGGAAGGAGGATGTTCAGTGTGGCAGCTGCTTCCCTGGGGTCCTAAGACCCAGGAGCAGGTCTGGTACGGTGCTGAACCCAATGGGAACTCAGTAGACATGTGCTTATTGGGTAATAGAATGAGTAGGAAGCAGCTTCCTGGGCCCTAAGACTGAGGGTCATGCTGGTCCGAAGGGGGCTACAACCTTGTCCGACATGGCTTGAAGCTGAGCTTTCCTTTCTTGGAGTTCCTTTTGCAGGGTTTCTTTTTCCAGTGTAGTTTTTTGCAGTTGGGATTCCTGGAAATCCACTTGTCTTTGTAATGACAAAATAGTTCCTGAAAGAGTAAAAGTAAAAGAGAAGGAGAAGAAAGAGTAGCCAGAAGAAAAAAAAATAAAGAGGAATAAGAAGAGAACAAGGCAAAGAAAATAAAGGAGAGGTTGAGGATGAAAAGGAAAAAGGGAGAAGAGAGGAAGGAAAGATGAAGAGGAAAACAGGAAGAGGAAGAGGAGGAAGAGAGAGTGGGAGAAGGAAGAAAAGGAGAAGGGAGAGGGAGAAAATGAAGAGAGAGAAGGGGACAGAAAGAAGAGGAAGAAAAAAGAGGACAAGAAGAAAGAAAAGGACAAAAAAAGAGGCAGAAGACAGTTGAGAGGGAAAGGAAAGAGAGAGAGAAGAAAGAGTAACTAACAAGAGGGAGGGAATGAGGAAAAGGAAGGAAATGGAAGGGAGAAGATGAAAAGAGAGAAGATAAGAAAAAGAGGAAGAGGATGAAAAGAGAAGAGGAAGGAGGAAGAGGAGAAATGAAGAAAGAGGAGAGAGAGAAAAAGAGAATGGAGAGGGAAAGAAAAAAGATGAAGGGGAAGAAGAAAGAAATTGAGAAAAGAAAAAGGTTAGGAGGAAAAGGAAAGAAAACAAAGGAGCAAGAGGGAGACAAAAGAAAGAAGAACAGGGAAACGGTGAAGAGGGAAGGAGGACAGTAAAAAGAAAGAGAAAAGAAGAAAAAAAGCATTAGGAGAGCATGGAAAGAGAAAAGGAAGAGTAGCAGGAGGGAGAAAATGGAGAGGAGGAAGAAATAGAGAGGGAAAAAAGAAAGTGAAAGGAAGAATAGTAAGAAGGAAAGAAAAAAGAGTATAAAGAGGGAGAAAGGGGAAAAGGGAAAGAATAAAGAGAAAGAGAAGAATAAGAGAGGAAAGGAAAAAGAAAAAGGGAAGGGAGAAAGAAGAGAAAGAAAAATAGGAAGAAGAAAAGTGGGACAAGAAAGAAAATGAGAAGAGAAAATGAGGGTTAGAAGGGAGAGGAGAGAGAGAAGAAAGTAGTAGTAGAATGAAGAGCAGGAAGAAGGAGAGAAGAAAGAGGAAATGAAGAAAAAGAGAAGAAGGAAAGAAGACTAGCAAGAAGGAGAAAATGGAGAGGAGGAGAAGAGTGGAATAAAGAGAGAAAAAAAGAAGGGAAATCAAAGAGAAAGAAGAAGAGAAAAAAGAGAAGGAAAAACAGAAGACAAAGAGGGAGGGAGAGAAGATGAAGAACAGAAGGAGGAAGAGGAAAGGCAAGGAGCAGAAAGGTTCATTGTGTGCTCTCTGAGATACCAATGCCAGCTGGCCCACCCTTACCCAATAAGACACCATAGACTTCCATCCTGGGGCATCGTTTTCCTCTCTATCTCTTCATACCATCTGTCCACCTCTACCTTCCTTTAGGAAGTCCTGATCAAATTCTAGAAGTGCCTCTACTGGCCTAGCATGCGTGCCCTTCCTCCCTTCCCTCTGAACAAACCTGCTTGCTACCTGTTTCGATTGTCTCAGCCCCTGTGAGCAAGGTGTCCAGAAAGTGACAGTCAAAGGGGCCACCCACCCTCCATCCTCTGTACCCCACTTCCCAGAGCACTCAAAGTGAGTCTTCTGCCCATTTAGGCTTGGCAACCCAACATGGCATCATACCTGCGATGATCGAATACTCATTCCTTGTGATTTCCAGCTCAGCTTGGAGCTCTATGTTCACCTGCTCATACTCATTAATCCTGGTCAAGAGTTCTTCCTTTACTTCCCTGTCTAAATACTCGATTACTTCTATATCCTCTTCTGACACCTTCTCATCTTCCTCAATGATTTGGGCTTCCATTTCACTGTCACACTCCTCAGGGAGGTGAGGCAGCTTTCGGATTTTTCCAATAAATTGAGGAACCTGAGAAGAGAAGGGGGTGAGGCCAGGGAGGAGGGTCGCTATTTTCAATCTCTCATTAGCTGTCATTATTTCTCCATGTTTTTCATCCTCTTGGAAGCCAAAGAGTGGGGAATGATTTTGCCATAGAGCACCACTCAGAATTTCAGGAGTGGGAATGGATCTCAGTCAATTGAATGTCTATCTGTACAAGAATTCCCTTCTGATGGCATCTCTGCCAGGCAGTCATCCCCAAATTCTTTCTAGACCTCAAATGAAAAGGGAGTCTGTTACCTTCCAAATCAACCCATTCCTATTTGAGAGTCTTTCATTGTGAAGAAGTTTTTCCAGACCCCAAAATTAAATTAGCCTTTTTTTTCAACTCCCACACCTTGTTCCTAGTTCTCCTCTCTGGGGCCAAGTTGAACACAGCTAATCCTTTTTTTACAAGACGGTCATTCAAAAATTTGAACACAGCTATCAAGTCTCCAGGTCTCACACTCAGTCTTCACGTCTCTCAGCTAAACATCCCCAGTTTCTTCAGCCAAGCCTCCTGTGGTATAAACTTGAGACTTTTCACTGAGTTAGTTGCCTGTCTCTAGGTGCTTTCCATCTTGTCCATGTCTTTGAAAAATACGGGGGCAGTTAGGTGGTGCAGTAGATAAAGCACTGGCCCTGAAATCAGGAGGACCTAAGTTCAAATCCAACCTCAGACCAAACACTTGACACTTACTAGCTGTGTGACCCTGGGCAAGTCAATTAACCCCAATTGCCTAAAAAACAAAAAAAAGGTGCCCAGAACCAAATGTACTACTTCAGATCTCATTAAGAGACATTAAGAACAAAAGGTGCTCCTTTGACGTCACACGACATTTTGTTTTGCACTCTAATCTAGCATACATTTTTAAAGCACCTACTATATGTGATGTGCCTCCACAATTATCATTTTATCTCATATATCCATCGGTGTCAATGAGATCCATGAAGGAGAAGGTAACGTGTTTTATACAAACTCTGTATCTCAAACATTACCAAGCACAGTGCTAGGCATGAAGGAAATGCTGCATAAATGTTTGTGGATGGATGGATCGATGGATGGAGGGATGAAATGAATAAGGAGTCTGATCAGTGAGGCAGAAATCTGTAACCTGTTGTGAGGCCTTAGGAAGGGGTAAGTTGGTTTTTGTCCAGGTTTCACACTCAGAAGCACTCTAAACATTCAGAATGGAGTGGCTTTAATAAGATCTCTTGTGGATGGACCTGACCCAAGCATGAAATGCTTTAGAGAGCTCCTTATGAGGCTTAATTCTTTCTATTGCTGCAAGACTAAAAATGTTACAAATAGAGTCAAGGAAACGCCCCTCCCAACCCCACCAAAAGACTCGTGACATTATGACAGTAATAACTGACATTTATATGTTATTGCAAAGTATTTTCCAGGCATTGTCTCACTGGAACCTCTTGACAACAATTGGTAATGGGTTTTTTTTAAAAAAAAAAGCAACTTCCGAACAATCAGAACTATCCAAAAGTGGAGTGGGCATTGACTTCGAGCAAAGGTTAGCTGACCATTGGTTGTGGACATTCTAGTGGTAGGGTAGGGGTTGGATTAGACAGCTGCTGAGATGCCAGTCAACTCTGAAATTCTGTGCTTGTCCCCATTTTATAGAAGAAGAAACTATCTCAGAGAAGTCAAGGGCAATACTGAGGGTCACATAGCTAGTAATTATCAGAAGCAAGATTTGAATCCAGGCCTTTTTGACTGTGAATGCTGCACTCTGTGCATTTCACCTTAAACTTTGCCAAGCATAGGACAACTCAGCAAAACACTGAATCAGCACATAATGGGCATAGTAATATGCATATTCTTTTCAGAAGATGATGCTACAGACCTAGCCCCTGAAAGACATGCCTTGTTATTTCTTGTTTTTCTCCCCTCTCTCTTTAGCAGGATGGGTTTACCCTGAGCCCATCCATACTTCCAAGAGCACAGATCTGTATGACCATTGGCCAGGGTTAAAAAAGCCATCTCTGGCAATGGAAACCAAAGAGATGTTATAAGGGGCTGTTCAGTAGATAGAGTACTGGGCCTGGAGTCAGAAAGACCTGAGTTCAAGTCCAGCCTTAGACAGTCACTAGCTGTGTGACCCTGGGTAAGTCACTGAACCTCTTTTGCCCTCAGTTTCCTCATCTGTAAAATGGCAACAATACAATAGTACCTGTCTTGGAATTTGGCATCCTAGCAAAAAACTCCATTCACCCAGCCCTTGGCCTTGCTCTGGCTTATCAAAGGATGACACTTTGGAGAGGAGTATTGCTGGGTGAGAAGGGGCTGAGAAATGCCCCATTGGCTAGACTCATGTGGTGAGGCAGCCAACCCCATCAGAAGCCCTTCTCCGCCCTCTGGCCACATCTTACCTCTTGTGCAGATCTCAGTAACTCCTCTTCATCTTTGGCAGTACTCCCTGAGACACTGATCCGCCTTATCTCACAGGGTGGGAGGGGCACGTAAATGCCCATGCTTGCTTTGGAACCTTCGTCCCTTGCCTCCGACATGATGCTGTCTTCTTGGATTTCAGTGTCCTCGTAAGTTGTGGTGGAAAGAGCGCTGGTTTCCATACTTGGCTTGGTCTCTGGAACCATCAGGGTATCTTCTGGCTAGGGGATGAATTCAGTTGGGTCCAAAGTGAAAAGTGGGTAAGGATCTGGAGGATGACTTTTCTTTAGGGCAGGAGTTCTTTGTCTTTTTCTGTGTCCTGGATCCCCTTGGCAATATAGTGAAGACTAGGGACACCTCCTTAGGGAATTTTTTTTAATGCATAAAATAAAATATGTGGGATTATGATTATATTGAAATCCAATTATCAAAAAATATATATTTTAAAAGTTCCTGGACCCCAGGTTTAGAACTTCTGGAGTAGGGGGACACACACAGAGGTCAGCCTTCATCCACACCACAAACTTTTCAGCTTTTAGTCCCAGCTCACAGCCCAGGATGACTGGCTTCTAAATAAATGAGGCAGGCCCAGCATGGGGTGTGGCCCCTGATGTCCTCTCCTCCTCTCTGTCACAGCAAGCAGCCCTTTGGTAATGAGCATACTCATTTGGAGAACTAAGGGGGACCCACATTGGATTTGCTTATTTTTGCATGTTATTACCCAGAATGCCTTGACATTTCACACCTATCTAACAGTCCCAGTGGTGAGCAAGGAAATTAAACATGTTCTGGGTGTTGCTTCCTGGCCTGCCCCATAGATGGGTGGAAAACATGGTTTTGAGTTATTCTCCAATTGCCTGGGCTCTGCCCTGAGTGTAAAGCTAAGTCCATGGGCAGAAAGGTGGTCAGGTTGAAGAAACAGCAGTCTGTAAGAAAAAGTCTATCTGTCAACTCATCTGCTTCAGAGGCAGCAAGGTATCAGGTAAAAAGGGCTGGTCTAGGAGGGCCTAAGTAAGTTCTAGCCTTTTCTGGCCTCAGTTTCCCCAACTCTAGCACGAAGGGATTGGACTAGATCATCAGAGCATGGCTAAAAGGGACCTCAGAGGTTTTCAGAACAATGCCTTCCTTTGGTATCTAAGGTCTCTCCCGGCTCTGACCTTCTGTGATTCTGATTCTATTTCTCCAAGGAGATGGACGAAAGTCTGCGGGACGCTTTGCCAGTAGATTGGGTAATGAAAACTGTCTCAGAGGATGATGGCTTTATACAACTGAAGGGACTTCAGAGATCACCTGATTCAATCCCTTCACTTCACAAAGGCAGAATCTTGCACTCAAAGAGAAGGGCTTTACCCCTGCAAGCTACCTACCCTGAGTCCAGCCTTCTACCTACCTTTTCTATTGATTTTGCCCTTGCTTGTTAATATGCCCATGGGTTAATATGATTAAAAAAGAGAGAGAAGAAAACCAAATCACTAGCCCTAAAAGTGTAAAGGGTGATTATATCACTAACGAAGATGAAGTCAAAGCAATTACAAGGAGTTATTTTGCCCAGTTATATGCCAATAAATTGAACAATTTAAGTGAAATAGAAGAATAATTACAAAAATGTAAGCTGCCTAGATTAGCAGAAGAAAAAATAGAATATCTAAATAGACCTGTTTTAGAAAAAAGAAATCGAACAAGCCATAAATGAACTTCTTAAGAAAAAAAGCACCAGGACTGGAAGGATTTACAAGTGAATTCTATCAAACATTTAAAGACCAACTAATTGCAATATTAAGTAAATTTTCTGAAATAATAGGCAAAGAAAGAGTCCTACCAAACTCTTTTTTGAAACAAATATGATACTGATACCTAAACCAGGAAGAGTGAAAACGAAGAAAGAAAATGATAGACCAATTTCATTATTGACTATGGATGCAAAAATCCTAAAGAAAATAGTAGATTATAACACTATATTATGATGATTATACATTATGACAATAATGTTAATTATGACTGTTATGTTAAATTAATGTTAATATGATCATCACTATTAATGCCCATGTAATAAAATGCAACCACTGGAAGGATTTGTGATTTCTCCAATTGAACAACTGTGGGAAATCACAAAAGGCATATTACACCCCATTCAGAATTTAGAAGACAGATACCAGGGCAAATGCTTGAAGTTCAGAGAGGTTTGAGGAATTTCCCCATGGTCATAGAAGACAGGCTAGGATTTGAACCTAGACATTCTGACTCTCGTTACCACATTCTACCCACACCATGCCATGCTGTCCCTCATTAGCGCTTACAACAGGTCATATATCTGTAGTGTTTCAAGGCTTACAAAGCGCTTTCCTCACAGCAATTCTGCGTTGGGGTATGATTGCTCTGTGAGGACAGGGGCTATCTTTTGCCTCTTTTTGTATTCCCAGCACTCAGCACAGTGCCCAGCGTGTAGTAGGTGCTTAATAAATGTTTACTGATTGATAAGAGGTGGGGAAGAAACAGGAGCTATGTAGGGAGGTCTCAGCAAGAAAACCCCTTCAGACACTTAACTAGCTGTGTGCCCCTGGGCAAGTCACTTAACCCCGATTGCCCCGCCAAAAAGTAAAACAAAACAAACAAAAAAAACAAAACAAAAAAAAAAAACCCCTTCAATTAAGTTAGATCAGCAACCCCAATAGTTGCCTGGGGGTCCTCAGGGGTTAAATGATGTGCTTAGAGTCCCAGAAAAGCCCCAAGATGGGACAAATATGATCAAAGGGAGGATGTACCTTCTGGTCCTGCTCCAGGTCCTGCATTTTGCCCACCACACCACTGACTTCTCTGCTCTTGCCTGAGACCTAAGAAAAGCAAAGGTGGGAGAGGGTCAGCTTCCAGAAGACCAACACAGCTCTGCCAGCTGGCCTGTGGAGTCAGCAGTACACCAAAGGGGTCATTTGCAAAGACCGTGCAGCCCTGTGATTTTCTCTCATCTCCCCTTCCAGTGTGGGCCGTCTCCTCCTGGGGCCCACTCACCTTTCCCCTGAGGCTCACTTCTACTCCCCGGACTTCACTCAGGAATTGCAGCCGTTTCTGTAGGTCTTTCACTTCTTCTTTGAGTTGGGCGAGCTCATTATCTTTCTTCAGGCAAGCCTCCTCTAAGGCCGTAAGCCGCCTGACCTCATCCTTCATCATGACCAAGTGCCTATCCTGGCAAGAGAACCACACCATCCTTGGTAAATGGGAACTCGTCACAGAATCTCCAAAAGGAACCTCAGTGGCCACGGAGCACTGCCCTACCAGAGAAGGCACCGTCTCTACAACAAACCTGCCCCCATAGGGTCATCCAGACTCTTCTTGGAGACCTTCAAGGAGGGGACATCTCCCACCTTTCTAGCAGTCCCTTCCACTTGGGGGTGGCTCCCAACGTGTGGAATTCATTCCTGATATCATTACACTTCTACTCCTTGCTTCTCAAATTTCCCTCTGAGGCCCAAGGAGCAAGACCCACTGTCTTCTGAGCTGGAGTCCCACTTTGCCAACTGCCACCATGGCATTTCAAATTGGATGCCCAGTAGACAGCTCAAACCCAACAAGTCCAAAACAAAACTCATGATCTTCTCCTGAAACCGATTCCCCCTCTTAAAGCTTCCCAATTTCTGTCGAGGGCACCATTCTCCTTCCAGTCACCCAGATTTCCAAACTCAGAATACTCCTTGACCCTCTCATCCTGTACACATAACCAATCATTTACCAAGTCTTGTGATTTTTTTTTAAACTTGGCCTTAGAGATATTGGAGACCCACCATAGAGCTGATCTTTGACTTCCAAAAGCATCCCCCAAATAGTTTTTAAGATTTCATCTCCATAAAAGAAAGGGAAAAAAATATTCATTAAGTCCCTCCTATGCACCAGCCACTGTGCTAAGTAAGTACTTTCTCCCCATTTTATAGCTGAGGAAACTGAGAATAGAGAAATGAAGTGGAGGGGGGGAGTAATTACTAAGAAGATCGGAAAAATAGTAAAGGGCCAGGTTGTGAAGAGTTTTAGATACCCAAGTTTATATTGGATTCTAAAGGTAACATGGGAAATGGGGAGGGGCTCACGCCATCAGATCTATGCTTTAGGAGAATCACTTTGGCAGCTCTATGGAGGGTGGGATAGAGCTAGAAGAGGCTTGAGCCTAGGAGACCAATTAGAAGGCCATGAAACAGTCCAGGCGAAAGGTGATGAGTGCCTGGACTACAGTGGTCACTGTGTGAGTGGAGAGAAAGGGATATGTCCAAGCAAAAAGGCAGAGAAAAAAATGATAACATTTGGTAATTGATTAGATATGTGGGGGAAGGGGAGTGTAAGGGGTTGAGGTTGCAGACCTAGGTTGCTGCAGGGATAATGGTGGCGTTCTCAACAGTAATAGACAAGTTCAAAAGATGGATGGGTTTAGGGGGAAAGATAATGAGTACATAGATGTCTTCAATGTTGTTTCTTCCAATGGAATGGAATGCCTTCCTTGAGAGCAAGAATAGTTTCATTTCTGTCTTTGTCTCCCCAGAGCCTAGCACAATTTTTGACCCATTGTAGCAGCTAAATAAATGCTTTTTGCTTAACAGTAAAAATGGCCTGTATCTATAGCACTTTACAGTTTGTAATGATAATGGCACCTATATTTATAGCGCTTTACAGTTTACACAGGCCCTTCCTCCCAAGGGCCCTGGGGTACAGGCCTCCTCCGTGAAGAATGCTCCATGGAAATCAGAGCCTTGGACCAGCTTACCTTCTCCTGAATCACAGTAGCATACCAAGGAAGCTTCCAGCTTTGGGGGCTCTTCATTACTTTCTGGGAACTGAGATCCTCGTAGCTTTCGCTTACGCTTTGGAATTCACAGGCACTCTTGCTAAATGTGAGCTTTCTGCCTAAAAAGAAAAGAAGAGCGTCATTGCTCCCATTTCTTCTAGCACATTAAGGATTTCTAATCTACCTTAGATTGGTGTAGGGAATTGTGTTCCATCAGTTTATTTGCATGGGACTGTTTTCAGAGTTTTAAAGGTTAGAACTGAGAAACTAAAAATTAAAAAAGAAAACAAACAAATTTCTTCGAGGGCAGTGGGAAAATTATATAAGGACGGATATGGATGGACACTTATCATGTTACTGAGGGTCACTACTGATGATAGGGCTGTGTTTTAGGCATTAGGATGGAGTTTGTAATCTCTTTTGTGTGTCCCCTTTGGCAGTCTGGTGAAGCTTATGGATACCTTCAAAGAATAGTAATTTTAAATGCATCACATAAAATCACAAGGGATCTCAAAATCACAGAAGATCACAAAAGAAACCAGTATTGAAAAAGAGTAAAAAAAATTTTGGGGGGAAAAAAAAAGTTCACAGATCCCATGTTAAGAAATCCTGCCTTAGAAAATATAGACAGAAGAAATACAAAAAAAAAGGGAAAGGAAAGAAATACAAGGAAGCTGAATACAAGGAGGGGTCGTTAACAAAAGGCATTAATAGTAAAGGAGAATTTCCTTTAGAAGACAAGACAGAAACTGATAGGAACTCAGTTGGCAGGGTGACTTGGCAGCTATTCTGTTGGGACCCATATAGATTGGAAAAGAGGCATTGTTTTGCCAAGAGCTGATTGGTTCAAGATAAGAGTGGCGAATCCTGCTGCTTTATGTATGGAGAATAGGCTGAGTTTACCGTTCTCTAGCACCATGTTTCAGGGCAGCTAGATGGTACAGTGGGTAGAATGCCCGATCTGGAGTCAGGAAGACTCATCTTCCCAAATTCAAATCCAGCCTCAGTTAGCTGTGTGACCCTGGGCAAGTTACTTTACCCTGTTTGCCTCAGTTCCGCAACTGTAAAATGAACTGGAGAAGGAAATGACAAACCGCTCCAGTATCTTTGCCAAGAAAACCCCAAATGGGGTCAGGAAGAATCAGACACAACTGGAAAATGACTGAACAACAACAACAGAGCCATCTACAGTCTGAGAAATTGGAAACCCATCAAAAGTGTATTGCTCTCTACTATCCCCTCAGGTATGAAGGAGGAGAAATAGAGGGGGGAAGAAAAATTTTGCACTTCCGTTGCTGTGAGAAGACAATTGACTCCATATGTACAAAAATATTTCTAGTTGTTCTTTCTGTGGTGGCAAAGAATTGGAAATTGAGGGGATGCCCATCAATTGGGGAATGGCTGAACAAGTCGCGGTATATGAATGTGATGGAATACTATTGTGCTATAAGAAATGATGAGCAGGAGGACTTCAGAAAACCCTAGAAAGACTCACATGAACTGATACAAAGTGGAGGGAGCAGAACCAGGGGAACATTGTACACAATAGCAGCCACATTGTGTGATGACTGACTTTGATAGACTGACTTCTCAGCAATACAAGGACCCAAGACAACTGCAAAAGACTCATGATGGAAAATGCCATCCACATCCAGAGAAAGAACTATGGAGTCTGAATGCAGATCAAAGCAGACTATTTGCCTTCTCTCTTTTTTTTGTTTGTTTTATTTCCTCTTTCTCATGGTTCCTCCCATTTGTTCTAATTCTTCTTGACTAATGTGAAAACATGTTTAATAAAAATATATATATATGTAGAGCCTATATCAGATTGCACGCCATCTTGGGGAGGGAGGTGAGGAGGGAAGGGGGGAAAATTTAAAACTCAAAAGCTTATGGAAGTGAATGTTAAGAACTAAAAATAAATTAATTTTTTTTTAAAAAAGAAGACAATTGGCTTTGCCGAGGGTAGATTGAACAAAACAGAATTCCTTTCTATTTGAAGATCTGGATGGGGAAAGACCCCATCACTAATGATGATGATGATGATGATGATAATGATAACTCACATTTATACAGCACCTATTATGTGCCAGGCACTGGGCAAAGTGCTTTATAATTATTATCTCATTTGATCCTCAACAACCTTAGGAGGTATGTACTATTATTATCCCCCATTTATGGTTGAGGAAACTGAAGCAAATCAAGGTTAAGTGACTTGCCTAGGGTCACACAGCTAGTAAGTGTCAAGTGTCTGAGGCTGGCTTTGAACTCAGGCCCTCCTTAATTCAGGCTCAGCATTCTAGATACTGAGTCACTACATATAGATTGAAAAAAAGAGAAAGTGCTGCAAACCCCGGAACAGAGCAGAGATTGACATTTCTCTTGCTTAAGGCAACTGCTGATCATTTAAAGAGTATATCACTTTTTTCAGCACCCTGCCAGGGTGCCTGTGTAATAAATGAGTTTCTCACTGTTTCGGTGGCCCGAGAGCAGCAAAGAAATGACTTTGCCCAGCAGGAGAGCTGGAAGGGCCAGCTAGGCAGAGAAGTGGTCTGGCCCAGGCAGTGACACGTATTGCAAACTATTCTCTAAAGAGACCCAATAGTAACAAAAAATATCTGATGTTTATATAGTGCTTTACCATGTATAGGTGCTGTGCTAAGTGGTTTACAATTATCATGTCATTTGATTCTCACAACAACCCTGGGAGGCAGGTGCTATTATTATCCCCATTTTCCAGAAGAGGAAACTGAACCAAATAGAAGTTAGGTGACTTACCCAGTGTCACACAGCTGGTAAGTGTCTGAAGCCATATTTGTGAAATCATGCATGTGCCAATACATCAATAATACATCTTACATATGTAATTAATATATGAAGAACAGTACATAACAGCATGTATGTCAACATTTTATGAACAATTAAAAAAACTTTTCAGAAACAACGGTGAATGGCATTAAACAAAGAAAAATGTAGTTTCATACAATCACATATTATATATGCATGTATGTATATATGTAAGTATATGTATATATGGATGTTTATGTATATGTATATATTATATACAATATGTGTGCATATGTTTATAATATTATATATGTATATGTATGATATTACAGAAATGTATTCGATTATATGAGTAACCATCTCAACTGTTATACCTAGTCCATCATATAGGACTAATCCCAAACTCAATAGTTCTGATCCCCTTATTGGGAATCTCTACATTTCTTTTTTTTCCACCCAAGGCTATCGGGGTTAAGTGACTCGCCCAGGGTCACACAGCTAGTGAGTATCATGTGTCTGAGGCCGCATTGGAACTCAGGTTCTCCTGACACCAGGGCCGGTGCTTTATCCACTGTGCCACCTAGCTGCCCCTGAATCTCTACATTTCTATGATGATTTGATCAATATCACGTAAAGGTAATTTCTGAGCTGGTAAGTAACTCGGTGTCGTGAGTGCACTCTGTTCCAACCAGTATTCCACCCAAAGGAAACAGAAGCAGTAGATGTCATCAGGTATCTGAGGGGATCTGATATACACAGTTAACAACTGAGTTTGACTTAGAAGCCAGAGAAAAATGGGGAACATAATGGGATTATGTTGTCCTCATTTTCCATCAAAAAGAAAAGCTCATATAAATCCATCTGAAAAGATGAAGTCTTTGTCAAACGGGGATTTTTCCATAAGACTTGGGGACATTGGGCAATAGAGCAGGGCTTTGTGTTCTCCCAAGCAAAGACAAGAGGGATGCACAATATGTAGTCTAACACAAACAATTTTACTCTTCTTGTAAGTGACTGAGTAGCCAGCTGCAAAAGGGAAGACACAGCTACAGTGTTTGGAGACCTCCTGGCTTAAATGATAAGCTTGTTGGGTACAGGCAATCTTGCCATGTTGCAGACAGAGCAGAAACTACAAGTAGGTACAGAGAACTGTGCTCCTTAACACAACTAGCACGCTTTTCATCTTTTAATCCCTAGAGCAAGTTCGCTCTATAGTGAGAGATGCATAAAACAGGAATCTCTATAAGCCCAATTCTCAGCAATTTTTTTTGGTTACAATGTCACCCTACATCATCCCAAAATGAGTAGCTAGATACAATATATGTCACATTCACAGATCATTCTTGGACAAGCAAGGCTATACAATCCCTAAGATGCACAGATAATCCTGACCTTCTTTTACCAGCTGACAACATCTTCAACTATGGTTTTATCAATGACCCAAACATGCAAAACTATAAGTCAATGGAGGCATGTCTGTGAGGAAGGAGAAAAGCAATGATCACAGAAAAAAATCCAGTTAAAATTCAAATACCTTTGCAGATGGGGAGACTTAAGCATAATCAGCTAACAACTTAGCCAAGGCTCATTGAATTGTGAAAGGGAGCCCAGGATACATATTTACACGCAAACAGGAACTGAAGAGAGATATAGGAAAATACCAGGGACAGACCCTATCATCACGCTTGGAGCTGATTCAACTTCTTACCGGTTTCAGTTGTCTTTAAAATGTTCAAGAATGATGTTTCATCTGTCATTTTCCAGTTCTCGTCGTTGATGTTCTTGAAGTATGTTCCACTGGGCAGTTCAGACACAGTAATCAAACCTGGTCCTGGGAAGGTTTAGAAGTTTTCTAATTAATTTCGATTCAATACACTCTAAATACCTACTGTATATGGCCTTTTGCTGGATTTCTAGTCAATCAATTAAATAATCAAGCATTTACTAAGCACCTATGATGTGCTAGGCACTGTGTTAGGTGCAGGAGATGCAAGGACTAACATGGGATGGTCCTTGCCCAAATGGCATTTATATTTGATAGGGAGACAACACACACACACAGATAAGTATTTACAAAATAAATGCAAAATCAGGACAAGGTGTTTGGAGGGACAGACAGTTAGGAAGATCAGGAAAGGCTACACGTAGAAGGTAGTGCTTGAGCTTAGCCTTGAAGGAAGTAAAGGATTTTACAAAGCAAAAGGGGAAGAAAGGGAACATTTCAGACACTGAGGTTAGCCAATGTAAAGGCCTGGAGTAATAAATAAAATAATAAAAGGAGGAGAAATATGGTCTCACAGTTGGAAAGGAACTCAGAATTTCTGTCATCTGATCCTATTAGTACCTGAATATCAATCCAGATATATAACTTGCTTGAGTAAGTGGAAAGAGGGCTGGATTTGGAATTAGGTGATGTGAGTCCAAGTACTGGTTTTTTCCCTTGTCTCCTACAATGACTTTGGTCAACTGACTTGACCACTATGGGTCTCAAAGGGGGTTGGACAAGATGACTTCTGGGGTCCTTTCAAGCTCTAAAACTATGACCCTAAGATCCTATGAGATTCTGTTGAGAACATATTTGAATCAGTCAATCAAAAGATCTTAGACTAACTTCAAAATTTTTTTGAAAGCTATCAGGTAAAGTAAAATGAATCCAAACTGGAAATCTGTTCTAAAAAGCAGGCAAACTTGGTCATACCTCCAGAGATCATCTATAAACTATTGAGTTGAGAAAGGGGAACCCCCCCCCAAATTGTAGTGAGTATGGAGGTTCAGCTGAATCTGAGAAGGAACCACCTGGAGGTGAAGGAAGAAGTCTCAACTATGGCCTTAGCCAGGTCTCCTTTCCTCTTCCTACCAGCCTTTAACTGGAAGACCTTTACATTGTAGAGGATTCGAAGGATCCTGGCCCTACTGTTAGCTGCCATTTTTCTGTCAGTGTCTAGTGCTGTCCCCAAATCAATTGACAGCAGTTTCTGAATCAGAAGCCTAAGAGAGTTGGACATAGCTTTACCATATTTAAGGGGAACTATTTGCTCTCCTCACAAATCAGAAAGTCTTCCAGCAAACAGAAACTGTGAGCTGAAATCATTTGCTAAGTGGGCTTGCCGAGCTTGAGCCCACTTTCCTCTGTATCTGTGTGTACTTGTGAGAAAGTGTGTCACAAACTTTTTTGGGGTGCTTTGTACTGACTGTTTATATTGTGCCACCTTGGTAAATGCCCCTTTCTAAAAAACTATTTAAGCCTTGCCAACTAAATGATTCACAACTAATAATCTTGGGAAGAGGGAATATACACAGCAGAGGTCCAAGCCAATAGCATTAGAGAGAATAAACTCTAATCTCTCAAAGATACCCCTAGAACCTTGAAGGAGAGATATCACCAGCCTACCTCTGGGAACTCAGATACTCCTGATCAGTGGGTATGGGAGTTGAGATAATGATACCTAGCTTCCTTCAAAGAGCACCTATTGTGCTACCTCCTACATGACGCTTTTCCTGATTTCTCCCAGTTTCCAGAGCTCTCTCTTTGAAATGACTTTGTGTTATTCTGTATATACTTTGTATTTATGTATCTACAGATAGAAAGTAGAAAGTAAGCTACCTGAGGGTTGGAACTCTTGTTTTTATTTATTTAAAATTTTTTTCTCTTTATATCCCTAGTGCCCAAAATGGTTTCTTCCATGAAGAAGTACTGGTGCACTGGTCCTTCCTTCCTTCCTCCCTCCCTCCCTCCCTTTCTTCCTTCCTCCCTTCCTTCCTCCCTTCCCTTCTTTCTTTCTTCCTCCTTTCCTTCCTCCCTTCCCTTCTTCCTTCCTTCCTCCCTTCCCTTCTTTCTTTCTCTCTTTTCTTTTCCTCCTTCTCTCCCTCTCTCCTTTCTTCCTTCCTTCCTTTCTTTCTCCCTACCTTTTTTCCTTCCTTCCTCTCTCCCTCCCTTCCTTCTTCCTTCCTTCCTTCCTTCCTTCCTTCCTTCCTTCCTTCCTTCCTTCCTTCCTACCCTTCCTCCCTCCTTCCTTCTTTCCTCCCATCCTACTTATCCAACTCTGTTTCTGTTGAATACAGATAGCATCTCCTCAAGGGATCCTATAATTATTCAGTATACTTAACTCTGACCTCAAATCTACTCTCAAGAGAGAACAAGGTCTATGCTAGAAGGAATGTGGTGAGTTTGGCACAGATAGAAATACACGTCCGCAGCCCCCTTTAATCACAGCACTTACCACACTGGGATGTTGAAGTTGACACATTGCTAAACCTGGGGCACTCAGCACGCATGAGAAAGGCCTTCTGCAGATCCTGCATTAGTGGAAGATAGCCAGTTCCACAGGTGATGACAGCACTGCCGCCTGCCACATTGCTCCTGTCAGAACTGCTCCAGCTTTGGCTTCCACCAGCAAGGGTATTTGTACTCCCCTTGCTGCCTTCCTCCTGAAAGATGAAGCAAGTCAGGACAGTCACTAGAAGCAGAGCATAAAATCACAGAATCTGCGAGCTGGCAGAGACCTCAGAGGTCATCTTGTCCAACCTGTTTTCTCTACATCCTCCTCAATAAGTGGTTTTCCAGCCTTCACTTTAAGATGTCCCATGATGGTTAACCTACTACTTCCCAAGGCAGCCCATCCTATTTTGCTGGAGTTGTTTGTGAAGGTTTTTCTTTCATGAAGCTTAAATATGCTTCTCCCCATCATCTACTCACTGCTTCTAGTTTCCATCTTTCCCAATACAGCCTTTCAAATACTTGAAGACAACTGTTATGTCTTCGCTCCAGTTTTCCCTTCTCCATGCTAAATATGCTCACTTCTTTCAGCTAATATTCCTATGGCATGAGGTCCCTTTAAGAGAACTTTCCCTGATCTCATCTGTTATTAACAATCTCTCCCATTCTTTATGAAATTATTCTGTTTTGTTTATACACTTTCTATAGACTTACCTCTTTATTGTTGTTGTAAAGTAGGATGTAAATTCCTTAAGGACAAAGGACTGTTTCCTATCTTTGTATCCCTGACACCTAGCATACTGCCTTGAACATAGGAGACGCTTAGTACATATTTGGGAAATTGAGATGAATGATCTTAAGCCTGTCACTATCTTGTTTGCCCTTCTCTGAATGCACAGCTTGTAGATATCTTTTCTAAATATAGTGCTCAGATTCTAGGGCTATATCCCAAAGAGATCACACAAATGGGAAAAGGACCTACATGTACAAAAATATTCATAGCAGCTCTTTTTGTGGTGGCAAAGAATTGGAAATTGAGAGGATGCCCATCAATTGGGGAATGGCTGAGCAAGTTGTGGTATATGAATGTGATGGAATACTATTGTGCTATAAGAAATGATGAACAAGGGGGCAGCTAGGTGGCGCAGTGGATAGAGCACCGGCCCTGAAGTCAGGAGGACCTGAGTTCAAATCCAGCCTCAGACCAATCACTTAACACTTACTAGCTGTGTGACCCTGGGCAAGTCACTTAATCCCAATTGCCTAAAAAAAAAAAGAAAAAAAAAGAAATGATGAACAAGCTGACTTCAGAAAAACCTGGAAACACTTGTATGGTCTGATGCTGAGTTAAGTGAGCAGAACCAAGAGAATGTTGTACACAGTAACAGCCATGTTGCGTGATGACTAATATTGATAAACTCAACCCTTCCTGGCAATACAAGGATCTAAGACATCTCCAGAGGCCTTGTGATGGAAAATGCTATCCACACCCAAAGAAAGAACTATGGAAGCCGAATTGTTATTTTTTTTCTCTTCTGTTGAGTTTTGTTTCCTCTTTCTGATGGTTCCTCCTATTGGTTTTAATTTCTACTTAACAACATCACTAATGTGAAAATATGTTTAATACAAATGTAAATGTATAGCCTATATCAGATTGTGCGCCATCTTGGGGAGGGTGGTGGGGAGGAAAGAGGAGAAAAATTTTAAACTCAAAAGCATATGGATGTGATTATTGATAAATTAAAATAAATTAATAAAAAATAAAAAAAATATAGTGCTCAGAATTTAATGCAATACCCCATATGTTTGTAAGACCAGGGCAAAGTACAATGGGGGTTATTTCCCTAATTCTGGATTCTATCCATATCTTAATTAAATGGCAGGCTAAAATGCCATTTGCTTTCTTGGTGACCATATCACATTATCGATTCTTTAAAAAAACATTTTTTTCAATCTGTCACAGCTTTGGCATTTTCTTTTTTTAAAGAATTTGATTTTAAAATCACAAATTTAAAAACCTAAAAAATAATATTTTCATACAGTAAAAACACAAAAAGAATATTTTATATGAAATATAAATCTCCAATTCAAACTTCTTTAAACTATATAATATATATAATAAATTCTACACATTACTTTCAAATCTGTCCCATTTGTACTTTCTTCTGAGCATTCTCTTCTTTGCATTTAAAAAAAAAAGTTATAATGGCCTCATTTTGGGGGCATCACTGTTTTTTTAAAAAATATTATTTATTTTAGGGGCAGCTAGGTGGTGCAGTAGAAAGAGGACCGGCCCTGAAGTCAGGAGGACCTGAGTTTAAATCCGGCCTCAGACCAAACACTTGACGCTTACTGGCAGTGTGACCCTGGGCAAGTCACTTAACCCCAATTGCCTTAAAAAAATTATTTATTTTTCCCTTTGACCCAGCAATGGCACTTCTAGGGCTGTATCCCAAAGAGGTCATAAAAATGGGAAAAAGACCCACATGTACAAAAATATTTATAGCAGCTCTTTCTGTGGTGGCAAAGAATTGGAAATTGAGGGGATATCCATCAACTGGGGAATGGCTGAACAAGTTGTAGCATATGAATGCAATGGAATACTATTGTGCTATAAGAAATGATGAGCAGGCTGACTTCAAAAAAAACCTAGAAAGACTTGTATGGATGCTGAGTGAAGTGAGCAGAACCAGGAAAACACTGTACACAGTAACAACCATGTTGTGTGATGACTAACTTTGATAGACTTAGCTCTTCTCAGCAATGCAAGGAGCTAAGATATTTCCAAAAGTCTCATGATGGAAAATGCTATCCACATCCAGAGGAAGAACTATGGAGTCTGAATGCAGATCGAAGTTTACTATTTGTTCTTTTTTTTTTCTTCTGTTTTGTTTTGTGTCTTCTTTCTTGTGGTTCCTCCTATTGGTTCTAATTCTTCTCTACAACATGACTAATGTGAAAATATGTTTAATATGAATTTATATGTAGAGCCTATATCAGATTGCATGCCATCTTGGGGAGGATGGAGGGGCGGGAGGGGGAGAAAATTTAAAACTCAAAAGCTTATGGCAGTGAATGTTGAAAACTAAAAATAAATAAATTAATTCTTAAAAATTATTTTGTGTTTTTAACATTGTTTTAAAAATTTTTGAATTTCAAATTATCTCCCTCCTTTCCACACTTCCCATACCCATTGAGAAGGCAAACAATATGATATAAATTATACATATGAAATCATGCATTAGCCATGTTGCCAAAAAAAAAAAAAACAAGAAAAACAAAGATTAAAAAGTGTACTTCGATTGGCATTCAAGAGTTCATCAGTTTTCTCTCTGGATGTAGATAACATTTTTCATCATGAGTCCTTTGGAATTGTCATGCATCACTGTATTGATCTGAGTAGCTAAGTCTTTCACAGTTGACATCTTTACAACATTGCTGTTACTATGTACAATGACCTCCTGGTTCTTCTTACTTTATTCTGAATCAATTCATATAGGTCTTCCCAGGTTTTTCTGAAACCATGCTGCTCATCATTTCTTATGTCATTGTTGTTCAATTGTTTTCAGTTGTGTCCAATTCTTCATGACACTATTTGAGGTTTTTTTTGTTTGTTTTTTGGTTTTTTTTTTGGCAAAGATAATGGAGCGGTTTACTATTTCCTTCTCTAGCTCATTTTACAGATGAGGAAACTGAGGCAAACAGGGTTAAGTGACTTGCCCAGGATCATACAGCTAGTAAATGTCTGAGGCCGAATTTATTCAGGAAGATGAGTATTTGTTTGTCTGTTTGTTTTTAGGCAATTGGGGTTAAGTGACTTGCCCAGGTTCACACAGCTAGTAAGTGTCAAATGTTTGGTCTGAGGCCGGATTTGAACTCAGATGCTCCTGATTTCAGGGCCGGTGCTCTATTCACTGAGCCACCTAGCTGCCCCTAAGAAAGTTGTGGCATTTTTTTGTTTTTTGGGTTTTTTTTAGCTAGGCAATGGGGTTAAGTGACTTGCCCAGGGTCGCACAGCTAGTAAGTGTTATGTGTCTGAGGCTGAATTTGAACTCAGGTTCTCCTGACTTCAGGGCCAGTGCTCTATCCACTATGCCACCTAGCTGTCCCTAAGATGAGTCTTTCTGACTTCAGATCAATCACTCCATCTGTTGCACCACCTAGTTGCTCTCATCATTTCTTGTAGCACAATAGTATTCCATCACAATCATATGCCACAACTTTTTCAGCCATCCCTCAATTGATGGGCATCTCCTAAATTTCCAATTCTTTGATACCACAAAAAGAACTGCTATTCATTCTTGATGAAAAGATCAGAGCTGAATAGATTTGACTTTAAAATACAAGACTCAAAGAGAAGCATAAAAAGATAAACAGGAAAGGGAGATCACAAGGGACTTAATAAGGTCAAACTGTTTACATTCCTACATGGAAAGATGATAATTGTAACTCATAAAAACTTTGTCATTATTAGGGCAGTTAGAAGGAGTATATATAGACAGAGACACAGGTGTGAGTTAAATATGAAGGGATCATATCTAAAAAAATAAAATTAAGGGGTGAGAGAGGAATGTACTGGAAGAAAGGAAAAAGGAGAGGTGGAATGGGATAAATGATCTCACATAAAAGAGGCAAGAAAAAGATTTTATAGTGGAGGGGAAGAGGGGGAGGATGAGGTGGAGTGAGTGAACCTTACTGTCATCAGAATTGGCCTAAAGAGGAAATAACATACACACTCAGTTGAGTATAGAAATCTATCTTACCCTACAGGAAAGTAGGGGAGGAAGGGGATAAGGGGGGTGTGTGATAGAAGGGAGGGCAGATTGGGGGAGGGGGTAGTCAGAAGCAAAACACTTTTGAAGAGGGACAGAGTGAAAGGAGAAAGAGAATAAACAAGGAGGGGCAGGGGAGATGGAAGGAAATACAGCTAGCAATTGTAACTGTGAAAAAATTTTGAAACAAGTTTCTCTGATAAAGGCCTTATTTCTCAAACATATAGAGAACTGAGTCAAATTTACAAAAATAAAAACCATTCTCAATTGATAAATGATCAAAAGATATGAACAGTGTTCAGATGAAGTAATCAAAGATATCCATAGGTATATGAGAAATGCTCCAACTCACTATTGACTGGAGAAATGCAAATTAAAACAATTCTGAGGTACTACCTCATACCTATTAGATTGGCTAATAGGACAGAAAAGGAAAGTGA